AACAAGTGGGGAACAGAGAAGCCTGTATCAGAGGATACAATTAGCAAATTCCAAACTGTGGGAAATGCTGCAGGACAAACAACCTGGTTTCTTCTACAAATAAACTGCAATACAAAAAGAGAAAAAAAGAGAGAGAAAAGGGAACACCTATAGATTAAAAGTGACTTACATGACATACTAACTAATTGCAATGAGTGGACCTGATTTGCCTTCTGATTCAGACAAACTGCTTAAAAAACTGCAAAATTTGAACACTGTGTTGACATTAACTGGATAAAGAACTGATGCTAATTATTTTAGATTTGATACTGTATTTAAAAGGAGTCTTCATCTTTCAGAGAGATTTTCTGATAGATACCTTGATGAAATAAAATGGTAAATGGGATTTTCTTCAAAAGAATCAGAGGGGGATGGGGGTGAATAAGAGCAGAGATGACATAACTGTTAAAGGTGAGCGATAAGTATGTGGGATAATTATACTAGTCTCTCTACTTTCATATATGCTTGAAATTTTCTGTAATAGAAATTTTCCAGAATACAATTCAAGCAAAACCGCTTTTTGATTCTACTCTTTGATGATGGCTCTCAAATGATTTTTCATATTATCAAATAGTCATGGATTTTGGTACAGGTGACACTAGGTCCTGTTTACCCAAAGATTTTCTTCAGATGGAATGCCTGAACAGCACAGTAATTTTCCAAGAAACATGAATTATATAAAAAGATCATCACATTAAATTGGATATGTTAACACAGATTTAGGTTCCACGAGAGAACATGGTAAAAATATCATGCTCTTAACATCGTAAAACTGTTTTTCCCCCAAGTTCCTACTCTTTTGGCCCTTTTCACTAAACATACTGTTTTCACAAATATCAAACACTCCTTCCCACTTGAGAATCATTTTCCTGAAAGAGGGGCTCTCAAACCTCAGCCTGCATCAGTATTACCTGGACAACTTGTTAAAAAACAGATTACTGGGTCCCTTTCCCAGAATTTCTGGCTCAGGTCTGGGTTGGGGCCCAAGAATTTGCATTTTAACAAGTTCCCATTTATTGCTGATGCTGCAAGTCTGGGGACCACACTTGAGAATCACTGTCCTGGAACGTCTATGAAAATTTATGTGTCCCCTGCTTCCTCCCATCTCTTCTTCCTCCTAAGAACAAAGTTGCCTGACAGTTTCCATAGAAAAGGGCATGATCTATCCTTTCTTTGATTTATATTTATCCCTTTGAACTCTACAATGCCTTCCATTGGATAATTATTACATAACCTTTTTTCTGAAATTAATTACCCTTAAATGATATTTGTTTTAAAATGTTCCCTATTAGGTTAGAGGTGGCATTTTGGCTCCCACCTTCCCTAAAAATAAACAAGACTAATTTTGTCTCTTTATCCTACTCTCCCCTTCCTCTCTTCCTCCATTCCTCTAACTGAACTGAAAAGAGGAATAGTTAATAACCATAAAAAGATATTACTATATGCTGTTCTTATTAGAATATAATTTCTGAGAGGGCAGTAACCTTTTGACTTTACTATAGCTTTCCTTTCCCACCATGTTATGGGCATTTATGTAACTATTATTATTTGAAAATGACAAGGCCTGATTTCTATTAATATTTACAGAACAGAATTAGAATTCAAAGCCCTGCCACAGGGTATATGCATTCAATCCATTTTTGTCAAATGAAATATTTCAATCACAGAGTCTTAGAGACAACCGAGGTCCAGGGAACCTAAGTGATATACAAAAGGTCGAAGAGTCTGTTACTGCAAATGCCAGAGTCCTATAATCCAGATCTCGTAACTCCTACCCAGCCTGTGCTTCTCCCCCTAGTCTGTCATACCTCTCACCAGTTTTATCAAAAGAGGTCAACAGTGCCTAAAGTGAGACAAAGTAAGTCCAAAGTAGCATAGGGATAAACACTTAAAGAATAATCTTAAAATTCTCAATTAAGGAAATACATTTACTATGGAAAATAATTTTTTTTACACAATATTTTGCTTTAGATGCTTTGGCCTTTCTAGGTTTCTTTACAAAGTGTGTATGAGGAGGTTATTACTCTAGAAAAACTCAGAAAAAGCCTAGAAAATTTAAGAAGATAGAAATTCTGACGGGATTGGTGTCTCTGGCACTGAATAAATTACCCTAATAGATCACCCCCACTCCAATGCAATGTGCACTGCGTGATCACAAGACCAAAGCTGATAGTACCACGGTCATCTGCAGAGTCTGCTCTTTCTAGAGAAGCTAGATTTGGGGGAAAGGGAAAATAACCACTTAGTAACTATTTACTACGTCCCCAAAATAGTTTTAGGTGGTTTACATACACTATTGAATACATTCCTTTCAACAACCCTATGAAACAGACATTATTGTCACATTTAACAGACTAAACTAAAGCTCAGAGGAGTCACAGGCCTAGGGTAAACTGGCAAGTCCAGATGCAAACTCAGGTGTAACTGCTTCCAGGGCCACACTTCATCCACAGAGTGAGGCTCATTGTTTTCACTAAAGAGTTCCGGCACCTTTATCAGTACTCAAAGACTCAAAATGTCTGAGACAGGATTATAACCTCTATCATCTACTTCTAAATCCTATAAAAATGGAAGCTGTTCTCCTGCTGCTTAATTTATTTTGGTTCATATCATTAGCAAAAACATTTATAATACCAGGACAAATTCATTAAGGAAGGATTTTTGACCCCGAGTTTGGCATATCTTTAAAAGCGGACAAATAATGAAGCGTAAAGCTATGTTCATTAATTTACATGAAGTCTCAAACGGTGATAAAGGACTTGCCTGATGTTTCCCTTAATGTAAATGCCCAAATCAATATTCCTAACCCTTTGGCCTCACGCATGCAATCAAACTATAATTCGTAGAGGCCCAGAAGGGCCAGCAGTCCAATGACCTTTATCCTCGTCTCACCTAGGGCTTTTGGGTCATGCCGGCTCAGAGGAGGGCTGTTGAGAGAACTGGTGACACCATTTCCCAGGCTGGAGGGAGGCAGAGGAGAATGGAAAAAGCTGCCCATGGGATTTAAATGGGGCTCTGCCCCTTTAGAAAGCAACACTACAGTTAAGGAACCAGTGAAAGGGTACTGCTTTTCCTTTTTTGTGTATTACTAATGTGATGTTTTAAAATACCACCCTTTTCTGGATGGACCTAGAGTCCGTCATACAGATTCAGAAAGAGAAAAACAAATACCGTATGCTAACACATATATATGGAATCTAAAAAAAAAATGGTTCTGAAGGACCTTGGGGCAGGACAGGAATAAAGACGCAGACGTGGAGAATGGACTTGAGGACACGGGGAGGGGGAAGGGTAAGCTGGGACGAAGTGAGAGAGTGGCATGGACATATATACACTACGAAACGTAAGGCAGATAGCTAGTGGGAAGCAGCCGCATAGCACAGGGAGATCAGCTCCGTGCTTTGTGACCACCTAGAGGGGTGGGATAGGGAGGGGGGGAGAGAGACACAAGAGGGAGGGGATATGGGGATATATGTATACGTAGAGCTGATTCACTTTGTTATACAGCAGCAACTAACACACCAATGTAAAGCAATTATACTCCAATAAAGATGTTAAAAAAAAATACCACCCTTTTCAATAGGCTTACATGAAGGAATTAAAGCAGGCAGGGTCTTGAAATAATAATTTGCCCACCACTGCCATTTGTCATAAAGTCCTTTTCACTGTGGCGATTTAAAATCAACCTTGTAAAACACACTGTGAGGAAACACAGAAAAAAAATTTTAAAAGCCACTTCCTTTAAAAATTTCTGAAGTAGGTAGTTAACATGTCAAAAGCCAAGTCTCTAGCAATGTAATTTAAATGCTGGATTACACTGTTCCTTCCTGGCCATCCATCCAAAGCCCCACGTATGGTGTATGACTTTTTTCTAAACAACAGCAAACATTAATGGTTATGCTTATCAAGTGTGAGAGTTCAGTCCTGGTTGAACAGGATGACACACTTGGCAGGGTTTTGACAAAGGCTGGCCTACGTCATTCCATAATCAGTCAGATGGCTATACACACAGATTCTTCACATGTCCTCGTCAAGCTCATGAGAGGTGTCACTCATGTTTGGATTCCAGAGTCCACCACCACAATAAGCGAGAATATAGATAATATGAACTTCTTTGTCATGATTCCTAAAGCTTAATTAACATGCCCTTGACATTTCTTTTGAGGGAAAAGATAATACATATATTAAAACAATTTTAGAATTATATAGCCAGATAAATATCACTCATCATTGTTCTGAATGTTAAGTCATCACTATATACCTTTTTTGGGAACCACTTCACAATTGTGTTGAAGAAAGGACATCAAATGATGCTTAGAAATGTGATACACATTTTCATTTCACACTCCATCAGCTTTTACAGCTGTAGCTCAATGAAATGTAAGAGAGAGCTTGGCAAACAGCCATATTTACCAAGGTATAAAATAGGGGTCAGGTTACTTTTTTATAGAAAGAAAAAAATGTTTAATTTTCACTCCACATTACTCAAGCAGATATTCAGCTAACACCCTAGAGAAAGGCACCATAACCACATATACTGACATGGTTTAATGCCTGTTTAACTGTATGTAGGCTTTTACTATATTACAAACAGCTTTGCAAAGCACAAAAATTATCCTTTCCTTACCCCCTTCCACTGAGGATCTACTGACACAGAAACATACTGGATCAGATCATCTTCCGTGTTAAATCTATCACCTGAAAATAATGGCTTTTGCCCTCTGTTTCTAGCCTAGAAGCAGAAACAGCTTATTCCTTTCACAGGCAGAGAAGCAAAGCTATAGGCATCAGCATAAATGCATCTTTCTAATTCAGATTTCAATCTGTCAGAAAGGATTAAAGCCTCATGCATACATAAAAAGGGAACTATAAATGATAACAGAAACATGGTGGGAAATCACTGTGCTTCCAGAGCTGCTGTTTTACTTGCAGGGTAGAGAGGAAAAGCGTCTTCTACTCACCTCTGTTAAACCTGAGATTTCTCCTTTTGCTAATGGTTTGCTGATGGATGGCGCATATACTTTGGCATCTGAAACTGGCTGCCCTTTCATAAAATGTTTTCCTGATTCATAAACGTTCACTTCGACCATTTTCCCCATGAATGTGGGGTTCTTTGGCACTAAAACCTTAAAAAAAAATTAGAGAAGGCTTAATTTTTAAAAATAAAATTTTATCTTAGAACAGTTTTAGATTTACAGAATTATTAAGATAGCACAGAGAGTTGGTATACCCCAGATGCAGTGTCCCTCTTATTAACATCTTATGTTGGTATGATACATGTGTCACAATTAATGAGCCAATACTGGTGTATTACTATTAACTAAAGTCCATACTTTATTCAGAGTTCCTCACTTGTCCCTTAATGTCCTTTTTCTCTTTGGGGATCCCATCCTAAGTGGGCTCTATCTTCCAGATGCTCAAGGACCTGGGGATCTAGCAGGAAGGGAAGGCATTTCTGAGAGGGGTAAGGGGCTATAGACAGCGCTCTCTCCTTGTGGGATGCCTGTGGTCCTAAGGGCACGTGGAAGGCAGGCCTGGAACCGCCCGAGGCATCAGCCAGTCAGTCTTGGACAGAGGCCTTTGATATCTGACTCTTGGCTGTCCCAGGAAATGAAGAAAACTGGGACACCACCGATGAAAGCTTTATACTTTTAATACCTTCCAAGTTTGCTGTCAGAGTCAGGATTTGAGCAGCCACTTCAAATAAAGGCCCGCATGTTTGGGTGAATATGTGTGTGTGCAAGTGCACATGTGTGTGTGTGTTTTGGGGGAAGAGGAAGAATATTTCAAAGCCACCTTTTCAATATTCCAAACCTTGGTGTTTGGAGCTAAATGACTCCTTTAACTGATGGCTGCCATTCATTTCTTTCGCTCTGTTATGAAAAGCATGTATTTGTTAGTTTTACCTCCACGCAGAACCAGCTCCTCTGAAGGGTACTTTGGCTGTGGCTCACAGGAAACTGTCAGATGGTCCCTTTCCACTAGAGAATACTGACGGAGGTACTTGTTTACCTCGAGCAAATGTTTCCCCTCCTCTTGGACCTACAGGTAGTTTGTATGTATTATGTCTCCCTCACACTTCTATTTCAGTACTGGAGCTACTTGCCAATCTTTTCAAGTCATAATCCAAAATAAATAGACTAATTCTAATCCAGCAATACTTTGATATCTAGATACAATCTTCTGGAAGTCATCTTTTTTTTAGAAAATAATTCCTATGAAATCCTTGATATGCTTGGTTTTAGAGACCAAAAAAAGAAAAAAAGAAAAATCAGATGAGAGCCAGAAGTTCCACAGCCAATTTCTCCGAGAGGCAAAAATGGATCTTGGTCTTTCTGAGTTTGATTTTTTATGACCACTGAGTACACTGCTTCATCAAAGTATAGGAAGAAAGGTCACCTGGGTGGTGGATTACTCGTGGCAAGCAAATGGACTAAAAAAGCTTTAGTATCAGGATGTGAAAGCCCTTTTAAATCAGTTTTTATAAAACAAGAAAATCTCTAGAGCAAACTATCCCTGGGAGATCTGGTACTATTCTCGGGGAAAATAACTCTCCTTGATCTGCTGTCTTGATCTGAATGAAGGGCTCAGTGTTTTTTTCCCTCCGGTTTTAATAATTGGAAAAAGCTCGACTGCTTTACATTGGAAGAAACAGCTAATGAGGCATGCCATCGCCTTTAAAATGAAGGGGAAAAAAGTTCCCTGCTGAGGCGAAAACCCAGATGGCAAGAGAAAGGAGAGGAAAGAGGCAACCAAAATACAACCAAGCTCCTCCCGAGGGCTGAGCAGAAGTTTGGCCTGAATAGGAAAATGGCTCTCTGGAGTCAATTACTGAGGTGGAAAACGGGGAAGAGACAGACTCAGCTCAGACATGGAGTGTTCGGAATCCATCCTCAGCTGTACTCTCTACTGGGGACCGAACAGGGCACATTCAGTCTGCGCCATGAAAAGCTCCACCACTTTCCCTGAGGACCCAGTGCCCAGTCTGAGATGATTCCACATGGAACATCCATGCTGGAGGCCCCTCCGGCTCCGGCTTCCCTGCTTCTAACATGGGCAGTCGGCTTCCCTTGCCCATCCCTTACGTGACTTGCCCAGGCTGGCCTGAAGAGCCTTCCCAAGCCATGACCCACAGAAAAAAATTTCACTTGTCATTTGATGAGAGTGGGAAAAAAAAGAAAGAAAAGTAGGAAAACTCACTTTATATTAAGAAAAGCGAATACGATCCGGGGATGACCCATGAAATCCCTATGCCCTTATGAGAGTCTCTAACCTGGAGGGGCATATTACACCTCCTCCTTGGCCCTTCCCAGGGTCCATGGCCCCTGAAGGAGGCACTGTTTTCTTCAATCGCTTTTGAATTGCTTTACCACCTGGGGTAGTGGAATCCCAAATGCTAAAATCAAAGTCTGGCTGCTGGTGGGGCAAAGCACGCTACTTTAACGGGCAGGGAGTGGAGAGCCCTTCAGGCTGGCCTCGAAGAAAACTCTCATAAGTGAAGTTAGTTTGATCCTTATGCTGGTCTCCAGAGTTGTTCACCCAACTTGAGTTGAGTCCAACGAACAGACTCCTTTCCCTTCGCCCCCAGCATTTTTTATCAATGTGGAAGTTAAAAACAAAAAAACAAAAAAACAACAACAAAAAAACACCTGAAACTAAACAAAGCTAAAAAAGCCAGCCAACAGACCAACCAATCAAAAGCCTGTGTGAGTGCTGTGACAGGGACAGGAAATCCCTGCCCTTCCAGGCTGATGTCGCCGGTACAGACATCCTTCCTGTCTTCTGGACAGAACTTTCCCCTCCATGTTGCCAGGCTGTGGGGATTTTGGCAGTGAGAATTGCCTGTTCCAAACTCTGCAAAGCCAGAGGCTGGTCCTGTCAAAGATGAATGAGGACTAAAACTCACTTATTCCTTTGTATAGAATGTTTTGGAGATTAAGCCACAAAGATAAAGCCCCACGTTAGCCTGGTTGGCTTGATGCTATAAAATAGCCTTCCTGCGACAAGATTCTACCCCTCCCCCCCGCCCCCAGCTTTAAGTCTCTTTCGCTTAAATTGATTTACTTTTAGAAGTCTTTCTCATTTTGGAGAAACCCTAAGAACATGGGAGTACCTCTTACCTGCTCATAGAATCGATTGTGTGCAACATAAAACTTGGAATCAAAAGATTCTTCTGTGACTAACACTTTTTGTCTCTCACCAATCTGTGGAGAGAAGGGGAGGAAAACAGGAGAGATCCGGGTAAACACCTGAGCGTCCAAAATAAATGCCAACCCAAATAGTTAGGGACCAGTAAGTCGTGTCTTCTTGAATTTAAAGTACACTCCAGATTGCTAGCTACTTAACAGCCAATACAAGAATCACTGATTCAAATTTTCAGAAAGACATTATTATCTATGTAGTAATATAAAATTAGTGTAGAACGAAATCTTATTTTCTTACAGAACTATGAAACAAAATTTGATCTTATTTCCTTCTTCAACATAATTTAGATAATTAAAGGCTTCTAAGACATACAAAAATCTTCTAAATATCACTTTGTTTTTCTTGAAACAAAGTTGCAAAACAAGCCAGAACAAGCTGCTTCTAATCCAAATTCATGAAAATATTTTGGCAATATGAAAGTGGTAATAAACATTAATTTGAGTTATGAGGGATATAACACTAAAGAAAATGCCTTAAAAACTAGTCATTAAGTCCCTGTACCTAAACATTTCACACGTTACATGCAATTCTGAAATCACTGATTAATTCAGTTATTTACTTGTTATAGACATTTTCTCTGTCATGGGCAACTGTCTCTTTTTGCTGCAGGCATGACCCCATATTCATTTAATTTTTTTAAGAGAAAGACAGCAAAAATAGGGGACTGTTAATTCTCTACAGGATCTATATTTACAATTTAAGCATGCATTTTTAATAACCAAGAAGTTAAATCAGCCAAAACGTTGGTTAAAGCAATGTGACCATTTTAAAACAGTCTACTATTTCCAACTTTATTCTACTGTGAAATGCAACATTTAAAGTATCATTACTTTTTTTTTTTTTTTTTACAACATTGTCAAAATGTCTGATTTAGCAAACCAGCTGTATTGGATGATTGTGCCTGGAATCATTTTTGCCATTGCTACTTGATAAATACAACCCTCTATGTTAAAAGCACATTGGCAAGATTTTTTAAACGAAATCCCTATTCTCATATGTAGGGACCTGTCACCATGTTCAGGCAGTTACCCCTTAGGAAACATAAACACAGCTGCACTAAATAGACCACCTAACAAAAAGAAAAAAACAAAAACACCAAACTCTTCTGTCCATTATACAATGCTAATACCTAAATACACCATAATTTGCTCTTTTTCACTCTCTCATTCAAATGTAGCTCCCTTAGCCGAAGGTTGTAAGGTCTCTAGGATACTTATCAAACACTTAACTTAGTTCATTCCTTGAAAACCAGTGAAAAGTTCCCGCACTATTGTCTCTTTTAAAGATCAAGGAGAAACAAAAGAACTACTCCCAGCTTCTACTTTGAGCTTTAATGGCCCTGTTTATTAAAAAAGACTGATGAATATTGCGTTTCACTGAAGTATATTCTACTGGAAGGAAACTTAGAATGTTTGCACACATTTCACAGTGCGAGTTGCTTATAACTTAAGATAAGTATCTGTCAATGGTTCTTAAGGAAATCTGCAATTACACTTCATCTAACATTAAGTTTTCAGGAAATTAACAACAATACGAGAGAGCAGAGCCACTGAAAACGTATGCCGCTTTTTCCCTCTTGTTGGAATTAATGTGGACAGTTGTAATCATTTTTGGGCTATTCCATTTTATCTGGAGAGAATAACGATGACAGTAATATATACATATTGAGTTAGAAAGACTTGCTATGTTTATACAGTAGAGGGCAGGGCTTTCGATCAACCATCAGAGAACTATTTGTGTGTGAGTATTTAACTATTATTTGCCAAAGGGATTCAGGAAAATTGCTATGGGCAGTAATTTATAGTGGCAAACACCTCTCCAATCACCCTTTTGGTTCCCTCAACTATGGATTTTGTCTCATTGGTGAGGCTCTTAAAGTTCCCCAGAGGCTACTGAGCAAAAATGAGCATAAGCAAGATAGGACTTTGATGAAAAACGGATGCAGTCTATCCCCAACCCCTAAAAAATCCAACAAAAACAAATAATAAATGCTCTACGTAGTACTTTTTTTTTTAAGAATGAAGTTGCAATGAAGTGAATTATCAAATATGACCTTTAAGAGAATCAACTGTTTCAAATAACCTTAAAAACAACAAGGGGGGGGGGCTTCCCTGGTGGTGCAGTGGTTGAGAGTCCGCCTGCCGATGCAGGGGACGTGGGTTCGTGCCCCAGTCCGGGAAGATCCCATGTGCTGTGGAGCGGCTGGGCCCGTAAGCCATGGCCGCTGAGTCTGCGCGTCCGGAGCCTGTGCTCCGCAGCGGGAGAGGCCACAGCAGTGAGAGGCCCGTGTACCGCAAAAAAAATAAAATAAAAAAATAAAAAAAATAAAAATAAAAATAAAAATAAAAACAACAAGTAAGTTAAGGAATGGGGGGCGGGTTTCAGCTGGAACTCTGGAAGAGGCAACTTTGCCTTGGTGACAATAAGGAAACTTATGGGCCAAACGTATTATTAGCCTCAAATGTTTTTTTCAATGAGCCACCTCCTTGCTCTCCCAGTGTTTTCTCCCCAGCCCCACTCGATAACCCAGTATGGTTAAAGACCACGTAACAAGATTTAGGATAATCATCCTGATTTACCTAAGAATGCCTCTCCTATCCAGCAAAGAAGTCCTGTTCTCAGAGGAAAAAGCAGGGCTTCAGAAGAGAAAGGGCAACAGTTACCCTTAGGTCACTAGGACTACAGCCACCCAGCTTTCTATTATGCTAAAGGCAGAGCTAATCCACTAAAGCAGGGGTCCCCAGTCCCTGGGCCACGGACAGGGTGGCAGAACAGGAGGTGAGTGGGGGGCGAGTGAGTGAAGCTTCATCTGCTGCTCCCCATTGCTCGCATTAGAGCCCCCCAGTCCGTGAAAAACTGTCTGCCACAAAACTGGTCCCTGGTGCCAAAAAGGCTGGGGACCACTGCCCCAGAGGGACCAGTTTGCCTTAGAGAATGATGGGTGTACACTGTGTCTTCTCTGAGATTCTGCAACATCTACTCTCTGCTGACATTCTGCTGAGAAGGTGGCTTCCTGGGCTACTCACCATCCCTCTCAGAACCTTCCCTAACAGCTGGAACCTCTGGCAGGAATACAAGGTTACATCACTGGCTTAAGACAAGCCCTTTGAAGAGGAAGTTAACAACAAGATTGCTTGAGTAATTTAAAAAATGAACAAACTCCTGAGTTTATAGAATATATCTATTTGTATACACACACACACACACACACACACACACACACACACACATTCTGAGAATGTAGAGGTTGAAGATAATGGTCTCCATAAGCTTTGTGACTCTGGTTGCACAATATGGCTGTTCAGCA